ATCTCTCTTATCTCTGATATTATCATATTTTTTTATCATTATCATTCGTACCATTTTCTTAGTCTTCCTTCTCTCCATCTTCTCTCTTTTTAAGCTTTCATTTTTTTTCTTTCTTATTCTTCTCCATTTATCTTCTTCCCGTTTCCTTCTATTCCCGTTTTCCTCTTCTTAATTGTAATTATTAATTCCCCTATTAAGAACTTACATTAGCCTACGTGTTGTCATAAATCATCGTACATTTTTTTTCTCTATCTTTTTTTTCCTATTTCTATCTTTATTACTATTTTTATTATTTTTTACTATTACTATCTCTCTTTATTTTTATATTTGTATCATTGTGACAGATTTTGATCCATATTGAGAAATTACATTAGTCTAAATGTTTTCGTGTTTTCAATAATGTATCTACATTTTTTATCTCTCTCTTTTTTTCCTATTTCTATCTTTGTGACAGATTTGATCCATATTGAGAAAATACATTAGCCTTGAAAATGTTTTCGTGTTTTTTCATAATGTATCGTACATTTTTATTCTCTCTGATCTTTTTTTTTTCCTATTTCTATCATTGTGACAGATCTGACCCATATTGAGAAATTACAGTTGCGCCTAAAATGTATTCGTGTTGTCACAATACATCTTTTATCTCTCTCCCTTTATTTTCTGATTTCTAATCATTGTGACAGATTTTGTTCCAATATTGAAGAAATTAACATTAGTCTAAATGTTTTTCGTGTTTTCCATAATATATCGTACATTTTTTTGTCTCTCTCTCTTTAGTTTTCTATTTGTATCATTGTGACAGATTTTGATCCATATTGAGAAATTACATTAGCCTAAATGTATTCGTGTTTTCATAATGTATCGTACATTTTTTTCTCTCTCTCTCTTTAATTTTTCCTATTTCTATCATTGTGACAGATTTGTTCCATATTAAGAAATTACATTAGCGCATAAATGTATTCGTTTTGTTCATAATCGTAAACATTTTTTTCGCTCTCTCTCTCTTTATTTTTTCTATTTCTATGCATTGTGACAGATCTGACCCATGATAGGACATTACAGTACCTGTGTGTCTTGCCATTGTACGTCTGTCTTAAGTCAACCCAAAAAGCTGGTATTACATTAGATATTTATCTTATAATGACGCTTAAATTTTCCATGAGGTTGTAGCGGTTCGTGGTAGTTAAGTAGTTAGTAATATAGGTCTCCTCTGTGGGATTATTTGTGTGGTTCTCTATAAGCCCCTTTTTACTACGTTCTCAGGTTCGGTGCATGAATTGTAAGTATACGTGTTATGGTTTGTTTTTTCTAATTGCCTTCTTTCTTACATCTCTCTCCGTCGTCTTTCTTTGCTCTTTCTCCACTTTTCTCTACTCTCTTTCTGCTGCTTTCGTCTCTGTTCTGCTCGTTATCTTTCTCTCTCTCTCTCTCATCTTCTCTCTCATTCTCTCTCTCTGGTCTACTCTCTCTCTCTCTCTCTCTCTCTCTCTCTCTGCGGTCTCTACTCTGCTCTCTGTCTATTCTATCTATCTATGGGCTATCTATCCTAAAAGCTTTTTTTTTCAAATGCGCACAGAGCCGGTAGATCACATATACTGTACCAATCCCACGCACCTGCACATTATAACAAACATCCACACTTCATAAACATTTTTCACAACGCACCTTTTTACGCAATTAAATAAATCTCATAGAACACTTATGGTTCCTGGAAAGAAAAACAGCACAATTAAGACAAGCATGAAAAAACTACTAACACTTGTACGGCCGATTTTTTTTTTTTTTATCCTTTTTTTTTCGCTGGTTACATGAGAGAGAGAGAAGAGAGAGAGAGGGGGGGGGGGAGGGAAGGAGGGAAGGGAGGGAGAGAAGAGAGAGAGAGAGAGAGAGAGAGGGGGGGAGGGAGGGAGGGAGAGAGAGAGAGAGAGAGAGAGAGAGAGAGAGAGAGAGAGAGAGAGAGAGAGAGAGAGAGAGAGAGAGAGAGAGAATAAGTGTGTGTTTGCGTGTTTGTATATACATATGGATAGATGTTAATACGCACACTCAAACACACATGAATATCCATACAACACATCTGTATGATACGTTCACTGATGTACCGGATTTGCATTACAATTTGAGTATAATCGTGTGTGTGTGTGTGTGTGTGTGTGTGTGTGTGTGCGTGTGTTGTGTGTGTGTGTGTGTGCGTGTGTGTGTGTGTGCGTGTGTGTGTGTGTGGTGTGTGGTGTGCTGTGTGTGTGTTGTGGTGTGTGTGTGTGTGTGTGTGTGTGTGTTGTGTGTGTGTTGTTGTGTGTCGTGTGTGTGTGTTGTGTGTGTGTGTCGTGTGTGTTGTGTGTTGTGTGTGTGTGTGGTGTGTGTGCTTGTGTTTGGCTGTGTGTGTAGCTACTATTTTTTTGGTTCTCGCCAAATTGAACAAAACACTACATTCCCAGTAGCAGAATGCCCTAGAAATTATCAATAGTAGCTCCTGGCTAGTAGTCTCATAGCAGTCTGACATGAGTGACTGATCATAACTTATTCATTAGTGGTGTAATAACAAATGTTCTTATTTGAATGCATGACTTTTTTTTTTGGGGGGGGGGAGGGGGCAACAGTACTATTTTTCTGTGTCACGAATCAGCATAAACATGCTAATTATTCTCTCTACCTATTCCTCTTTATTCTTACCCAATGCTGTTATTTGTCATTTATCATTTTCCTTTGTTTCCTTCACACTCTATTTATATTCATTATCTAGCTTTTAATATATCTCCTATCTGGTTGTATCTCTCTCTATTACCAATATGTCTATCTCTCTCTATCTATCAATCTCTCTCTCTCTCTCTCTCTCTCTCTCTCTCTCTCTCTCTCTCTCTCTCTCTCTCTCTCTCTCTCTCTCTCTCTCCTCTCTCTCTCTCTCTCTCTCTCTCTCTCTTTCAGAAAAAAGGCATACAAGATTAGAGACAATACTCCTAGCATTTTCTTACAATGAATAAATAAAATAATTAATTAAATAAATAAATAATATAAAGGGATGCGTGTGTATATTCAATAAGCTCTCTGTGGATGTTAATAGTGAAAACATGTAATAATAATAAAACTGATAACAACAGTAAATATTATTGTAATAATGATGATAGTAATAGTAATAATAATAACGATGGCAACAAAGCTGTTAGTTAAACTTTTTTCTGTGTTTTTGCTCCCTATTCATCACTCTCCTCTTAGTAATTTTCAGGATTATAATAATAATTGAAACATCCATTTTACTATTATACACGTTGACGAACAGAGAGAAAAACGATTTATCTGCTTCTTGTTATCTCTTTTTTTCTATTTGCCTTATATTATCTTCTAATTTTCCTTCTTGTTCTCTTTCGTCTTCTTTTTTTCTTCCAATTCTTGTTCTTCTTACATTTTCTTCTTACAAGTTCAGTTGCTTGAGATTTACACCATAATCCTGTCCGTTAACAAACTGAACCTCTTCGCATATAAATGTCATTGTTGTTTTGATTTTTATCGGTTATTGAAGATAGAAAGTATAAAGGAAAATGTTTAATGTTTTTTATTTCTAAGACAAAGTTATTGCTAATATTTGCTAATATTCAGAAGTCCCCCCTGATAATATGGCTGTCAGCGTTGTAAAAGAAAACGAGAGGGGAAACTAAAATAATTCTCATACTTGCTTCTGCTGTTTGGAATATTTTTGTCTCAGTAATCACTTTAAGTAAAAACGAACATAAAATGACATATCGATATAAACACATTCACTTGCGTGTGTGTGTGTGTGTGTGTGTGTGTGTGTGTATGTGTGTGTGTTTGTGTGTGTGTGTGTGTGTGTGTGTGTGTGTGTGTGTGTGTGTGTGTGTGTGTGTGTGTGTGTGTGTGTGTGTGTGTGTGTTTGTGTGTTGTGTGTGTGTGAGAGAGTGAGAGAGAGAGAGAGAGAGAGAGAGAGAGAGAGAGAGAGAGAGAGAGAGAGAGAGAGAGAGAGAGAGAGAGAGAGAGAGAGAGAGAGAGAGAGAGAGAGCCTGTGGTGTGTTCAACATGCGAAAGGTTTATTTACAGTTGTGTTTAAAGTGCTTACGAATCGCTCGAAAAATACTAAAATGCTACGGAAATATTAGATGAGTCTCTTGAAAGGTTTGGTTCACTGGAGGTGTCTCGTCTATACTATTATTTCAGTCAGTTTAGTCATTGATAAGCTATTTCGTTTGCGTTCGTCTCCCTTTTGTACTTATATTCTGGCCAAATTATTTTTGAGAAGCTGTTTGCGTTCACATCGGGATACCAGGTTCATTACTAATTTTTAGGGAAACGAATCATGTCTAATTCAGTGTAACGAGTCGTCGGCATAAATAAAAATTCACGAATCAGAGTAAATCAGGCCATTAAACGCGTAATAAAGAGAGTGATGGTCTGATTATGTTGTCCTGGGACAAGTCGAGAACATGACGGTGGACATTTTTGTTCAGGACTAAAACGCCGAATTTCTCAGTATGGCTTTACCTATTATTCGAAAAGAATTTTGTTCCCTCTTTTCTCTTTTTTCGAGATTCAAATTACTTGAATATCTATGGTTATAAAGAAAGAAAAAAAAACATTTGCAAAGAGAATCTGCATTACAAAATGTTTATATCTAAGTGCAGATTGAGACTTTTTTTTTTTTTTTTTTGTACTAGCTAGTGTTTGTGTTTTGCGTCTTGTAGCCAGGACGGGTCACCGTGAATAGAGAGCAAGTTGGGTATTTAATTGAGTGGAAAATATCCCCTTTTGCTAGTTTCCGTGATCTGTTTCACTATTAGGAAAACATGGAGATATAATCAAAACGCCAAATTGATATTCTCTGTAATAAATGCTATGAGAGTAACACCCAATGACAGATTAAAATATCTCTAACTTAGCAATAACGTAAAACAGACACAATATAACTTCATCCGCTCACGACAACAAACGCACACACACACCCAGCGCCACAGAGACAGGAAACGGAAAGGCACGTCTTCTGTACAAACCAGTAAGCACATCACAAGCCCTGAAGATCAACAATTTCATTCAGTAGCACAGCGGCAGTCACTGTGAATGGGACAAGGCAAAGTGTCATCCAACCACAGTAAAAAGACGAAAAACATGGAGGTCTTTGGTTACTGGAAGTGTGTCGTTGTTCTCGTGTTCGCGGTGGTACAAATTGGTGAAGGAAGCTTGCAGTGCAATCTTACGTGTCCGAACCAGCAGTTGTCTTGCACCACTTCGGCGTCTAACAAACAATTTCTTCTAAAAGGTCATTCTTTACATGGTCAAGTACGTATTTTTGGTGTTGATGGTTGTATGATGAATCGAACGATCAAGTAAATGTTTCATAGCCATTAAATATGTGTTTTTACTTTATGCATTTGATGTTCAGGGTCTTGAGTGTATAGGTTTGTAGGAGCTTAAAGTGGTACATCTGGATTAGTATAGTTTTTATTTAGTATATTTGCAATGGAAGCTCCCTCTCTATAAATTAGTAGTAGGCGTGTTTATGAAATTAAATCAAAGAATACTTAGAGAATAGTTTTCTGATCTTCCTGGCATTGGCAACGTGCACAGGTTTTGGACCTGGAAATATAACATAGAGAGAGAGAGAGAGTCTGAAGATATATGATTCGTCAGTATGAAGTATATTTTTGTCATATGAGTAGAGTCAACTCTTTTGTATCAGCACCTTTTCTTTGCCTCTTTTTAGTTGTTGTTGTTGTTTGTTTGTTTTTTCTTAAGAATCTTCAATTATCTGTTTATTCGTTAGCTTTTCTCATGACTGCCATGACTCACCCAACAGAAGGTCAAGCTGGAGCCCCTGCTCATGGACATTCCCGCCTCCCTCGTAGAACTGGCGGTGGAAGGATGTGCGGCCGTGGAGGTGATGCCGAGGGCCTTCGAGGGGCACCTCTTGCTCCAGCGCCTGAACTTCAGCAACATCGAAGAACTGACCTTCCAAGAGGACAGCCTCGTGTTCACCGGTGACCTGACCCTAAACATCGATCAGGTCAGTAATCTGGAGCTGAGACGCCGCGCCATCACCTTCAACGCCAGTCGCGGAGTGGCCGAGCAGCGCCTGCAGGTGACCAACACCCAGCTGTCGTCCGTCGCGCAGGAGGCCATCACCGCGCCCCTCACCTCCAACTACCTCACGACCTTCGGCGACAACAACACCCTCTCGGACTCGGGTGACCTCTCCGGCCTCTGCAGCCTCAGACGCGAATTCCAAGAGGTTTTCGTCCCCGAAGGCGCGCCCGGACAGGTACCTTGCTCGGCGACTCGGGCCCTTGGGAGCCTCGTGGTCTTCGCTGTGGCTCTCCTCTGCAGGAAGGGCCTGTAAGTGAGTGGCTGCGCGGGCGTGTGATCTGGGGATGGAACCCATCTGGAGATCATAGATTATATGTATGCTTACATTATACACAGACATATGTGTATATACACATATTCATGCACACACATATGCATACATTATACACACATATGTACATATTCATACACACACATATGACATATGTGCATACATTATACACATGATGCATACATTATAATATACATACATACATATGCATACATTATACACACATATACATATTATACACACACATATGCATACATTATACACAGACATACATATACATATTCACACACCACACATGCATACATTATATACACATATGTATATACATATACACACATGCATACATTATACACACATGCATATATACATATTACACACATTATACACAGACGTATGCATATATACATATTCATACACACAACCACACACGCAAACACACACAAACACACACATATAGAAAGAGAGAGGGGTGGGAGCGAGCAGATTGACTCACTGACCAATTACTATGTATAGAAAAGTGTGTATGTGACAAGTAGTAAGATATAAGTTTATAGTTCTAAACAAATAACCCATTTCACACAGATGAGATTCCACACTTGACACTACTAAAACATGCAAAAAGGTTAAGCAATGTCATCTTACCCTTAAATTTGTAATTGTTAACTTTGGATAAAATGGTGTCTTTCTATGTAAATAAATTATTTTTTCTTGTTCCGATGTTAATGATTGTTAAAATTTTCCTCTCTGAAACTAAAGAAACGAAAAATAATAGGAAATATTCTGAAGAGATGGTAAAAATACATAATGCCTTAAAATATTACAATATTAGAATATGAATGAACAAATTGATTAAATATATATTAAATTTTGTTATAGGCTGATTCATTTCATAACCATATGTCTCGATATAAATGAAGGATAAATCATTAAAGGATTGAAAAAGTAAAGGTTAACAGGCAATCTCTTATGTAAACACACCTCAAAATACCAATTATAATAATAAATACGTAATATATTTCCAAAATATTGACATATGAATATAATAAACATATTTCTTGAAGATAACAAAACAGTTATAAAGACAGTGACTGAACACTCGGTGAAATCTTTTGGAGGGAAAAGGATGTGGGAAAGCGATAATACTG